GTCCCACCCTTTTCCGAAGGAAGGGGGCAAGAAGCAGCTGACCTAAATCAGGACTGCGCCAGCCAGGTCTGGAGAACTTCGGGGGTGGAGCCCCTGAAGAGTATAAAAGGGGAGCGTGCTCAGCAGGGTGGGGAGAGACAATGAGGGACGGCGAGGAGAGAGGAGCTCCAGAGACGGCCATTCTCGGGACCCTACTTGAGCTTTAGCGGTGCGTGAATCGGCACAGGGGGATCGGGCTCTAGGAGCCACTCGAGGAGGCTTGAGCCTGTGAACCTGGCAAGCGGCTGGGCAGTCGGTGTGCAGATTGGCACACAGAGAGCTGGCCCTGGGAGCAGCTCGAGGTTGCTTGGGCCCCACACGGTATGTGGATCGGCACATGGAGAATCCGCCCTGGGAGGGTCTCACCCAGTGTGCGGGTCGGCGCACGGAGGACCTGCCTGGGAGCAGCTCGTGGCTGCTCAAGTTAGCTCCGGCCCTAGGCCGAGTGACCGGAGCCCCACAGTGTGGCTCCACCTTTAACTAAAAGAGCCCCGGTGCCCAGAGCAGAGCCCGGGAAAGGGGAGGACCCCCAGTGTGAGACCGGGGAACCAGAGCCTGTAAGGGTTCGGCTCCCGTGAGAGAGCGCCCTAGTCTGCCCAGTGCGGAGCACCAGGCCATCAAGGAGAGCTGAAGGCACCGCTGGAGAGAGGCTCTTGCAGGGTCAGCCTCTAAGGGATGAGCCTTGGCTGCTTCAGGGAGGAAGCAGGAGTTGCTGGGGAAGTAGGCCCCACAGGGGAGGCGGGCACAGGACAGGAGGGTCTGCCGCCTCCACCCTCCATTGCGGGAGGGGCATGCCCACATCCCAGGGACCTAAAGGGGAGGCGCTCCAAGGAAACCCCTCGGGGAGGTACTGAGTGCACTCCCTATTTTGGGTGATTGTTGTTGTGTCAAGGTCTATATAGCTATGGGTATTCTTTAAAGGAAATTTATATGGTTTATGTGAATTGTGGGATATTATGTGTAATGATATATGTTAAGCTTTATTGTAAATATTTTATGTTTTATCTTAAATATTTATTATAATAATAAATTGTATATAGTTAAGCACTCGGTCTCGTGCAATTCAAAATTCGGTAGGTCCCTGCTGTTCAGAGCCTTCCACTCTGAAAAAGAGAAGTTGGGACACATCACAAATGAGAATACAGACTGGCGGGTGATTCCTATGACCATGGATGGGGAATGTAGAGGAATGGGAAATAAAGTATCTATAGCTCTCTTCATACGCAGCCACTGAGCCAAGGTCAATAACACATACAGAAGTGCTCAAATCCAGTGTGATGTAACCTCTGGAGTGCATTCTGGAGAAGCACATTAAACCAGGTATGGGGAAGTACCATTGAGTAACACTGCAGAAAGTTGGAGTGGCAGGAATGTAAAGACTGAGCAAGAACATCGTGCTGGATCAGGAAAATGAATCCCCTCTCTCAAGTAGGTATAGCCAAGGTAGGAGAAGTATGTGCTATAGGCTTAGGACTACAGAGCTGCTCTGGCATGCAGAGCAAAGTGCCTGGCTCTTTTGTCTCTCAATTCTTCATAGCTCTCTAAAGGATATGAAGGCTAGATCCAAAGGTTTGAGTGATAATGCTCAAGCATCAGTGCCCAAATCTCTATGAGCTTCTATGAGAACTATGAAACAGTAAGTTGGCCTCCATGACCTTAGAATCATAAAAAAATTAGGGCTGAAAGGGACCTCAGGAGATCACATCTAGTCCAACCCCCTGCTCAAAGCAGGACAAGCCCCACCTATATCATCCCAAACAAGGCTTTCGATGGCGAGTCCACCACCTCTCTAGATAAGCCATTCCAGTACTTCACCACCCTCCTAGTGAGAAAGTTGTCCCTAATATCCAACTTAAACTTCCCTTGCTGCAACTTGGGACCATTGCTCCTTGTTCTGTCATCTGTCACCATTGAAAATAGACTAGCTCCATCCTCTTCAGACCCCCTTCAGGTAGCTGAAGGCTGCTATCAAATCCACCCCCCCCCCTCCAGTCTTCTCCTCTTCAGACTAAATAAGCCCAGTTCCCTCAGTGGGAAGAACCGGAGGCTGTGAAGTCTTACATCTTCTACACCAACAGCTGGCAACCAACCTCTCCAAGCCAAAACAACCCAGCTCCCCAGTTCCAGTCCAATGCAAGCTACGGGGCGGGGTGGGGGGACGGGGTGACTTCTGCACTGGGAGACTTTGTTCAGACCACATTAGTGCCAGGACTGAGCTGGGAGCTGTGCTCATGCCCCTGCAGCTTCTCTCCCTTCCCAACCCTCAACTACAGCATAGGCACAACTTCCAGCCACCTGGGCCCCATAGGTCCCCATGGGCTGGAAGCTGCACCAGAGGACGAAAGGAGAGGCGAGAACTAGAAGTGGTGCAGGTGCAGCTCCCAGCTGCCTGGCCCTGGTTCTGGCACAGGAAAATCTCCCCCTCCCCACTGCCAGGCCACCAAAACCTACTAGTTCCACAGGCAAGATCCAGTAGCTCCATGGACCATGTTGCCAACCCCTGCTCTGAGTGTCCACAGGTTTTGGAGAATCACAAAGTCTTGACCTTTGGGTGGCAAGATACAGAACTTCCATAGTAAACCTACTAGGAGGATCTTCGTCTGGAATTGGTCTGGAAGGCCAAGACTTTGCTAATCCCGCTGCTGCTGAAGGGAACGAGTCTTTAGCAGGAGCCAGCAATGGAGGTCCTGCAATGGAGTCTCAGCAGGAGCTGGGTCTATTGACTTACCTAGGAGGAACATCTAAGGATTTTCTCCCACACCTTGAGAGTTCAGGACTTGGACTAGATCAAATCCCTGCTTGGGATATGTCTCCAAGACAGTAAAAAGACATGTAGATTGCTCATCTGAGGTCAGGATAGCTGTCACAACAGGCAGATCTTGAAAACTGAAAAACTAGTGAGGAACAGAAGGAAGCCCAGGGAAAGAAGGGAAACCACCTACCTTGAGATGGTTTTCTCAGTTGGCTTCCCTATTCCTTTCTTTTCTTGAAGGACTAGGAGCTCTATTTTGCTTTATGTCAAGACAGTGGTGCAGGCATGTGGAAAGCACAACCTCCACTCCTCTACCCCCCACCTCTAAATGCACTGAGACTCCAAAGTGAAAAGCCCTCTGGCTTTCTACCTCCTGTTGTCTCAATGGAGGTGAAGAGAAAGAAGGGTGAAGAACAGAAAAGAGCAAGAGTCTTCAAAAACAAAGGTAACATGCAAAGCAAGAAAATGAACACTCCCTCTCTATCCAAAGCAGAGAAGAGGAACCGAGGAACAGAAACTGCACAATGATTTTTATCCCCTCAGTGGCCTGAGGAAGGATGCCAGGACAGGGGAGGGCAGTGTATCTTATGGTTACTGCTTGTCAGGGCCTCTGATTAACAGGGATCCTGGTTTTCCCCGATAAAAAATTGCAAATTCTTGGAAGTCCCCTTACTCCCCGGCCACCAACAACCCTCCTGGCTCCTCTCACTCCTCCGCGCAGCCTTCCCCCCAGCCCCGCTGGTGACCCTCACTCCCACTCACAGCCCCTGCCACTCCTGGTCCTGCTGGAGGGCGCCCCCATCTACCAGGGCTATGGGGCCAGAGACCCAGGTCCCCAGCCCCCTGCCCCTGGCAGGAGTGGCTTTTGCAGTGGAGCAGAGCCTGGCTCCCCCTGCCTGCCTGCAGCAGGCTCAGGCAGGGGGGCCAGCTCCTTGCTGCTGGGTGTACTCCAGGAGGACCCGTGCCCCCCCAGATCTGTGTGCAGAGCAGGGGGAGGTGTGAGCTGCCCACTGTGGGCTCAGGGTCCAACCCTGCTGCCTCCCCTGTTTGCAACCCAGCGCTGCAGGGCAGAGCGGGGCCACGCGGGGATCTCCTTGCTGCTGTAAGCTCCATGCTGCCCTGGAGGTGTGTTCCCTGCGTGCGTTGCAGCACAGGGGCACAACCACGTGCCACTGCCCCTGCTGTTGCTGTACGTGCAGGGGATGCCTCACCATGCAGGGCAGCACAGAGCTCACAGCGGCAAGATCTCCACACGGACCCACTCTGCCCTGCAGCATTGGGTCACAACCGTTGGGCTGCAGAGGCCCTGGGGGAGGGCAGCAGGGCGGGAGCCCAAGCTTACAGCAGGCAAGCCGTCCCACCCCCACCCTGTACAAGATTTGAGAGACACGGGTCCCCCCTGTCTTCCAGGAGCATGTGCAGCAGTGGGGAGCCGGCCCCACGCCCCTGCCAGCCAGGCAAACCACCCATGGCCCCATCCCAATCCGTACTGGGGCCCTGCGACGATGCATTGCAGCCCCAGACCCCAGCCCCTTCCACATCCTGGCTGGGCAGCAGCCCCAGCCCTGCCCAACTCCTTCCCTATGGGAGCCTCAATCTCCTCTCCCACTCTGCTCTCCAAGCTGCCTGATGGCCATGTGCACACACACGCACACGGTGCCCCCTGTCTGAACACCCTCCTGCTCCCTCCCAGCCCCTGCAGGCTGGAACTCTGCTGGCCTGCAGAGAGCTCTTTGCAAAACTGCAAAATCCACAGGTTTCTCTGAGAAATGAGAAATCTGAGTTTTCCTCCGACGAAGGGGAAAATCTACGTTTTTTCTCCATCTTTCTGGGGAAACAGAAAAATCCAGATCCCTGCTGATCAGGCATACCTGCCTGGGGCAAGTACCTGAGATATTTGCCCTGACCTCAGATCTCCTTTAGAGCTTGGCACCAATTCTCTGGCTCCTGGCCTTGGCTTACATCTTGGACTACATCTCTTGGATCTCCCCTCTTCGCTCAGGTAACTTTTGCCCCAACACTGCTCACCCAGGTTGCTTCTAGGGGCCTACCTTGGCCTCAGTCACCTATGTCCCAACTGAACCCTTACACTGCTAGGGCAAAAGATCTCTGGTTGAGACTCTAGCGTGCACGTCCGTAGTGAGAATGTGCAAAAAAGAGAAAAGACCTTTTCTGAAAGAATTTAATATTTGGCAAACAGAAAAAAAAACAACCATTAAATTAGAATTATTTGAAAGATCAAGGTATTCTCGAGTCACTGCAAGTTCAAAGAAGTGCAGACTTTTTGGCCTGAACTTTAAATTGACAGTTGCAGACAAGCTCCTAAGAGCTTAAATTCCTGAGGGGTCAGAAAGTTCATTCAGTGTAATTTATTCAAAGAAACTGAAATAAATAAAAAACCCACAAAACTTTCCCCTGTTGGTATTAAAAACAAACAAACAAAAAACAAAAACAAAACCGAGAACCTCTCACTACAGCATACAACAACCCCCACCCCCCAGTCCAATAAGTCTTGTGTAACACACCTCCATATGATCACACTTTACCACTGTATGTATGAAAAGTACAAGATGCATTTCCCATATATGCAATGGATCACAAGCCTGATACAATTAACTTGTTTACTAAAAAGATGTATGTAGTTTTACATATATTTGTACGTTACTCAGCAAATCACATTTAAAAATATACGTTCAATATATTTTGAAATTATTCCCATATTAAGTGTACCTCAGGGTTTTGTATTGCTGGCCACTACCATAGTAAGTGTATCCCTCTATTTAGATTAGCAAAAGACGACCCCATGTGATACAATGGAGTCTTCTGCTCCCTCCATTCCCATATATTGAGGAAGATTTGCTTTGGGAGAAGCTTTGGAAGGATTCTCCCTTTTGTTTAGTTTTAATACATATACATGGGTCTAGATCCACCTGTGTAAGCATATTACATACATGCTTTGTTTAACCAAAATTAAAGAACTACCTTTGTCAAAGAAACTTTTCTAGACATTACAGTGATGCCTGAAGACTCAAATCACTTATACAAAGAAAAAAAATCTTAGGAGAAGCTAGGGATTAGTTTTTCCATGGTCAAAGGACTGCAAATAAATTCTGCACTTTAAGCTATGGAATATAAAGTGAAAATTATTAATTCTGTCTGCACTTATTAGCTCTTGTTCAACTAGAAAATGGAACGGGCAGATTGATTGTAGTTAACACAGTTTGTAGAATGGTGGTTAGCAGTGTTAGTCTGAAGTCAGGCAGAATGTAAGGCAAGGTGGCACCTTTGGGTACTTTAACATGTGCTCCAAAGTTGCGGGGGATGGTGCTTTAATTAGAGCACTACCGGTACGTAGTATTAAAGGAAGATGTTTTTAAAAGAACTTCAGAACCCATTTTCATTTATCAGTGGGTAAGTTCTTAAGATAGTAGTTTCTTTGTGTATCCAAGGTAAAATACCAAAAATATTTGCACTGCTCAAGATGTAAACAAATATTAATACAATCAAATAACAAATAATGCCCAACAGCACAATAATCCTACCCTTGATAAACTGAATGACATCCACACCTTTGAAAATTAAGAGCATGTGTTACGTTACATTTTATAACCTTGAATACAATTTAAAAATATAATCCTACTGTGTAGAATTTTAAGTTGTAAACACTTCATTTTTATGGTATATATTGAACACATTATTACTTATATCATTTTTGTAAAAAGTTTATTAAAATTATCTTGGGCCAGTTATACAAAAAAAAATAAAGAACTCCCTGAAAATATATGTTCTGCTCTAAACTCTAGTAGCTGGCAATAAAAAAAGCGAGTCGAAAGAAAATTTGTGTTTTACTAGTTGTCAAGTCCAAGTTTTATTAAAATTATACACTGTGCTTATGTTTTCAGCTTGTCCAAACACATACTAGAAAATATAAAGGAACTTTTTCCTTTGCTAGGCATATCCTCCAATTAATTTTTCTTTTAACCAGCAATAAGTAAATAATCTTACAGACATAATTATACAGTTATACTGTACAAAACTCTGGTCATTTGGGATAATATATTAATGTATAAAGATATGTATCAAGTTTAATCATCTTCCTGCTCTTGGTGTCTATTTTGGAAATTCAGTGTTGTCTGCCCTCTTTCAGGATCTTGCATTCGGAGGATTCTAATAAGCCGACTTGTTGGTAGAGAACTAGAAAAAACAGACACATAATTCAAACTGATGCTTCCTTGTGAACAACTCTCAATGCTGCCCGATTGATTCTCCATTAAATATTTATCTTGTTATAACTGCATTTATTTGCTCGTATAAACCAGCAACATTGAGTGAAGTCCTAGCTCTACTGTGGTCAATAGCAAAATTTCCTATCAACTTCAGCTGGACTAGGACTTCAACTCTGCCCTTCACCAGAGCTTTAACACTTTACATTTTATGCCACAAATACCATGTCTAGTTCAGCCCTGTCACCTGAACAGGTAGCTAGCGTTAATTAGGCAAATGCCAGAAAGCACAAACTTCCGGAGACACATTTTACATTCAAACCCTTTTCAATTTAAGCTCAAATCCTCAGTGCTGCAAGTGTTATGTACAGGCATAACCCTACTTACATTGAACTAATTATTAGTATAGTTATATAGATATACACATTCAGTTATATACAGTCCTATACAGTAATAGGGCTCCAACTCATGCGTACTCATTCCTTGTACTCATTTCTATTACACTGGCATTTCCATATTAATACTGAAAGTAATTGCATAGAATTTAGCAAAATGGAAAACTATATTTACTGTCTGAATACATAAAACTCATGTATACCTAGAATAATGCAATAATAGCAAAGTCCTGAATTCTGACTAAACACAGCTTCATATATCTTTCTGAATAATATTAGCTTTATTCCCCTTCAAAAATGGAAGTCCATAAAATTGTAATAATTGTTTGTTGCTGCTAGATAAATGCCAGGGTATTTTATACAAAAGTAAACTGCAAAGCTAAGGAAGTAATTCTATTCTTTTCTGAGTGTTCTGCTTTTCCTTGTAAGTAGGACTAAACTAATGCTAAGCTACACTAAAAAAAAGCCACATAGATCTAATTAAATGATTTCCAAATTAAAGAAGAAACTTTGCTCTGGGGTAAAGGAGAAGGAGAACAAAATGCTGAAGTTACTTGCAATGAAGGACAGAACCACCAGGGATGAGTAAACAGTGAAAAAGGGAAACTTCAATGTGTTTGAAATGCTGGACATATAGCTGGCAAGTGCTCCTTGCTAGTCCCAGCACTTTGTAAACAGTTCCAGGACATGTTACACTTAGAATTGAAATCTGCACATGCAGCTTCATGATGGAGAAAATGATATTATTTTGTAAAGATGCCAGCGAGGAGACTGAAAGGCCACCAAATGAAGTTTTACCATATTTAGAGTCCTACTGCCATGCAAAACAATAAGGATGTATACTTATTCCAGGGGCTTTAATTGCTTTGTGTATCCGCCTGTAAAAATTTCAGATTGTTGAAAACATCTTCCTCACTACAAACACAAACATAGGAAACACTTAAAAAAACTAGCTCAGTGGAGACACTTATTAATAAAATATCACAAGTTTGTTATTTTCAGAGGACAGGAAGGTAAAATACGAGAAACATCGCGGCGGCCCCTCAAGGATGCTTTTGGTTTCAATTCTCCTAAGTATATGTAATCAAGAAAGACTGATTCCCATTTTTCTCCCTTTCTGTAACTTGCACATTTTTTAAGATAGAAAGTTTAAGGAAAAGCAATTACCTCATGCTTTGTGGAGTGAGCAAAATAAATTGTCGATGACGCTGAGAATCTGCCATCTTTAGCATCATGTCCATTGAAATTCTTCTATTAACCATGTCCTAAAAACCAGAGCATTTAATAGTTACTGTTTTAAATTTATGATAATTTATACTTTTAATTCCTCGTATTACCATGCTAATTAAAACAACAACAACAACAACATGAGAAAAATTAATTATGTGTGGAAATATCTTGCTAACAGGATACTGGTAACCAGAATGCCAAATTAACAAAAACTCACTGTTTAGCTAATCAGAAGTAAAATGTTATTAAAATAATCTAAAACAAAACAACTAAGTTTACAGTCTAGCATCAAAACCCAGGAGGTATTAGTTATGTATACACATACATCATTAACTCTAGTCTATCTTGTGTGTCTTCAACTACACAATCATTTACTGTAGCAGAAAAACTAATTAAGTTATCTCAAAACCTATGCATAACATCTGCAACTGTGCATAACTTCAGGACCCCAAAGAGTTTCTGTAAGTTGACTGTACACAACATGTACAAAGAACAAAAGTGCTGTTGCACATTTCTGCCTAATTACTGTCAATGAATATTAAAGAACCTTAGGCAAATATGTACATTATAAAATACGATAACATAATTAAAGACTGTAATGTAATGCACTTGCACAGTTAAGTTGTTATAATTGCTATAACAGGGCCCCCTCTAGTTCCATTTAGGAGAAAGGGGAAGAGCCCTTTAAGAAGACTGAGAATTGGTTGAAGCCCCATCATTCTGACAAGTGGCAGAAACACTCAAACAGTGATGGAGAACAGAGCTTCTGCCATAGAAACTGTTGGGAAATAGTCTTATAGAGACATGGCTAAGGCCCACGCAGGACAGAAGGAAGGCCAGGACTCATTAGAGCCTAGTCAGAAAATTACTGTATTTGCTTGACTATACAATGACCCTGATTATAAGAGGAGCCCCTAATAATTAGATCCTATATACAGAAAATGTACACATTTTCCACGTATAGAATCTAAATATTGGAGGTTTGCCTTGAATTTGTCCCCCTCCCACTACCATAGCAGAGAAAACAAAACGGAGGCATCAGATATACCTCTTGCCCACTACCTCCCTCCAACCCCTTCCTCCTACAGTCCCTTCCCTGCTTCCTTAATGTTCCTTCCCCACGCTTCCTGTGTAAATAGAAGTAAAAAGCAAATTTGGAAACACTGACCTTGATATAAACATAGCTATAGTCATTTGCATACAGTACCCATAGACTTAGTTAATCCAGAATCAATACATTTTATCTATTTTGAAACTGATGCAAGTTTTAGCAGAAGTACTTCATAAGCACACTTTAAAGTAGCATTTTAGCATCTCCTTAGAGAAAGTACAAACTATGCACAATATTAGTCTGAAGCCAAGAGGCTCGTGATTTACCACATAGTTCATTGGGCTGGGCCCCAACAGAGTCAGTAGCATTTCAAGCCATGGTGACCCAACAGCTCAGCGCCACTCAGTATGTGTGTGTACTCCAGGTACCCCCCCAAAGTGATCCGTGCCTGGAACCATGCCTGGAACCAGGTGTTCTTGTCAAGAGTTCTGGGATACTCCAAAAAATTATATGCAGATAAGGCACAGGGCAAACTTGTCTGGCTTCACCTCATAGAGGGCGGGGTCACACTAATCATATGTGACGGGCTGAGAGAGGGGGTGACAGAGGGATTCTGGGTGAACTATTTGGGGCCCCATTTCATGATGTTTGCCAGACATTTAAGGCCGAGGGAGAAGCAGGTATCATTGAAAATGGGAATGAAAGGTGCAGCTCAGTTGAGGGAGTGAAGAGGAGGTTGAAATGCATTCAATGTAGTGGTTTACCTTGACTTGAAAGAGTCAGTGCTGAGATCAACTCAACAGGCACTACTGTACACTTTATTCAGATGGGATGCACTAATCTATCTGTGTGATTGCTTCCCATGTATCTGGGTCCAAGAAGGCAGTTCTCCTGAAGTCTTCCCAAGGATAACTGCTCTTTCGGCATGGTTTAGTACCTACCGAAGTGTTAGGGCTTAAAGCCCACTTTATGGAAATGGGAGGCTCCTCCCTAGCTTGCTCCTGTGTCCATACGGCTGAGGCCAGGTGAAGCTTGGGGGCATTTGACCCCCAAGCCTTTGGGCTTGGGCCTAAACATAGGATGCCTGCCAAAAGACTCTGGAAATATCTGAAGCCCCTGGTGGAGGATATCTGCCGGTTGTAAGGCTACTTATGGTTTTGGACTGACTCATGGATTTGGACTGGATTTGGCTTGGAACACAATTATTATTTATTTTTTTTTTTTAAAGAAAAGATCACTTGCTTCCCATCAGCATATCTGCCCAATGTGGGCTGTATTTCATTGTTATGCTCACTGTTGACTGCATTTAAAATCAACTTCATAGTTGGTTTGGTTTCTATTACTGAGCACATGTTGCTTTTTGCAGTAGTTTAAGGACAGATAATACGTTTAATGAGGTTTCCTCATATATGATGCAAGATTGGGAAGGAAGGGAAGAACCTATCTTATATACAAGTAAATCTATAAAAGGTTGAAAAAAGGGCAGGAGTATGAAGGAATCTGGCAGAAACTAAGGAAACAGTTAAGGAAAAGGAGTCCTACAAGGTCAGACAACAAACTTCAGTGGACTTGCAGGGGAGAAGCTGTGGGAGACACTACCACCCAAAAACAGTCTTGATCTTGATCTTGAGAGGGCTACATCCTGTCAGCAAGGAGTGCTCTCTCTCGTTCCCAATGGACCCACTCGCTTAAGACATCAAGACGTGGCAAGAAAAATAAGTGGGGAAACTGAAAGTGAATGGAAGACTTGATTTGTACGGGAACCCGAAGGACTTCAGTGCACCTGGAAAACAGCAGCACAATGAGTGCTTGTTCTACGCCTTTAGGTAAAATTACAATTTCTCTCTGTTACTCACTGGATTTTTCTTTAAAGATAAAATAATAATAATAATAAAAAACCCATTATCTGAAACTATTTGATAAGAGACTATCATTACTCCTTGTCTCTTGAACAATGAAACGCAAAGATAAGCATTCACCTCTTGTTTCATTTTCTAAGAAGAAAATTGAGTCACTGAGTCCAGAACTTGGGCAAAGTCCTGGGCTTCACTGACTATGTGTTTTACACTTCACAGTTTCAAGGAATCAATAGAGTGGTGGTTCTCTACCTCTGAAGACTTGAAGCACCTGTCGGAAAATGCCAGCTTTGTTTTTGCTTATTTTTTGCCTACAGAAAAAATATTAGAGCAATTTTTCTGTTCCAAAAAACTCAGACAGGTCCCAACAGGTCAGAATGTTTTAACACTGAATTCCTATTTGAAATCTCTGGATTTAGCTCATCATTAAATATTTGCACACCTAAAAATGCTAGCACCCTGAAGCACCCTTGGGGTGACTTCAAGGCACTCCAGGGTACCACAGTACCCTAATTGAGAGCCACTAAATAAAGCCCTGTACCTGCAACATATGCATGTATAACAAGTAGCTCATCTTCCTTGCAAATATGCTATTGGAGCCTCCAGGTGATGAGGTCAAGCTATTACAACCAGAACAATAAAGCTTTACTATAGTCTTGGACCACACTGCAGCACAGGAGTCTGAAAGATGATGATCTGTACAGTTAATTTAAGAAACAGAGCTTTAAGCTTGTGTACATTCACTAATATTTTGAATGTTCAGGATTCTGTATGTATAGGATGGATTCCTTTCAGTTTTGTCATTTTTCAGATTTATGATTTCCCCGTCAATCTTTCATGCCATTCCAATACAGGCAGTCCTCGACTTAAGATGTTTTGAGTTACAACAAATGGCACTCCCTGAAGAACATCTGTTCAGACTTCCTTGGACACTTTCTTTAAGAAAGAAGACAAGACTCCATAAAAACCTGTAGCCAAGACTCCTGAGAAGACTCCAGCCAAGAGCCCTTCAAAAAGTCCAGCAAAGTCACCTCAAAGAAGTCCTTCCAAATCAATGTGATTGCTATTTACAATATAAATACATTAATGTAGCTATATTACTCATCTATAATTGATTGAATACAAAATTCTGTGTTATTTTTGGTGACAGTAGAGTATTGGGCCTTGGTTCAGGAACCAATCCCCCATTTATAACATCGTTTCTATGGAAAAATCGGTTCCAAGTTATGACGTTTCAATTTCAGACGTGGTTTTCAGGAACCAATTGTGTCGTAAGTCCGAGGACTGCCTGTATGCAAGAAAGGTCCAATTGCACAGACAGTAATCCATGTAAGAATTACACCAGTTTGAAAAGTGCGCATGGTAACTTCCTTTCTCGAATTGCATTTCCCCTAGTCTGAGTGTCACTTAATCTAAGTGGGGCTCTAAACACCAGAAATTCCTGAAGAATTCTACTCTCAAAGAAGTAACATTATTCTCTTTTGCCCATGATCTGACACTTTGGCTTAAGAATAATGTTTGAAAGACATCATATTGCACGTATAATACACAGAATGTAAAGAATTTCTACAAAAATAGAACAAGGCAAGAAACTGGCAAATATTGAAGTGCCTAAATTTCAGGGTATCTGGAGTCTCTCTGCCTGAGTGAGTGACATTTTGTACAACTAATGCATTCGGTGTTTCAGTCAAGGTCCTAAAACTAGAACCCCCCATTCCAAATAACCCACATCCATATCCTAGGTGAAGAGGTCATTGGTTATGACAGAGAACACAAAGAGCAGCTGCACAAATCTCTCACTAACAATTTTAACACGATACAAAACAGACTGTGTTACCTAGAAAGAAGGAACCTTTGATAGGTATGTGTTAGAATTTATAAGGAGAAATCCCTTCACATATCAAATTAAGTGATCAAACCAAGTCAATCCTAATCTCTCTGAATAGGGGAAATGTTATCTCGCACCAAATGAAAATACTGGTCTCCTTGAATTAATTTTCCTGCAAACTAATACATTTTGATACTGTTTAAACTGGGAACCAGGATTTTTTTCTGATTTAGTTCCTTTTTCAGGAGAATTTTATTTACAGTTGCAAGTCAAAGTCTGTATTGGTATTTTGAAGCTAATTAGTCTTCATGTGTTCATCAGCTTTTGAAGAGCATTTATGGATTTGGAAAACTCTAAGGATTATCCTACCTCAATTTTCAAAGCAGCAATACAAAGCTAAACTGCTATACCTAGGGTATGTCTTCTCTGATGCTCCTATAGTATCAAGAACTATGTCCGGTCTATCCACTTGTGACCTACCTATGCCAAACCCAGAAATAAGGCAATGAAGTTGCCTTAGGGGCACACTGTTCTTGAACACCATCTGGCATGCTTGAGCATGGAAGCAGGTACCATCCCTAGAGTTACTTCACCACTTTATTTCTGTGTTTGGGCATGCCTCTTAGTGGATGTGCCATGCAGAACCAGTAGAAACACACATTTGGTTCAACCATTAAGGGCAGAAGATGGAATCAGGAGAAGTGAGATTTCTACACCAATTCATATTTTCTTGCTAGAAGCTCAGCAGGTTTTTTGTACTCCCTAATTCATATTAAAGAGAAAAAAGGTTAGAAGTTAACAACCAATATGAACTGCCACAACACCTTTCAACTTTCTAATGAAATTATAGTCATTAATAAGATTCTTGGGTAGCATGAAGCATAAGAACTGGAAGAAGTAGTTTAAGATTAAACTATACCATGTAGACATCAAATTCATCCAAGCATCTGAAAGGAGATTCAGTAATGGACCACAGAGAAAGAATGAAACAAACGGTTGAGAAGGAACGTTCACCTCCTGATAGAGATTTCATGTCATTCAGAGCAGCCTTGTCTCCCTCTCCAGGCTGGACCTAGGAGAATGAAAATTAATTAAGCCATTAATTTCATTAGTAGATTGTGATAGTTGATTGCATAGGAGAAAATTTACAAAAGCACGATTTCCCCTTAAAATTATGTTCAGAAACACCAAAATATAACACAAATATAGCAGTGGTATTTATATTGCACATCACCTGCAAATAAGTGTGCATATTTCAGTGTATATGTATTTCAATAAAATAAAAATAGTTCAATGAACTACAATTTTGGAAGGTATTTTCAAGGTGGTTGGAAATCAACTGTCCCACTGTGGAAACAAACAAACATAGAATGGAATTAATTTTAAACATTGACTCGGCCTGTAATTTGCTGTTTAGTTCTGGCTTCAATAACTGTTAAACTCATCAACCATTCTAGTTGCATTGCTGTCAAAGCCTGAAAACTATAGAACAGCAGGTAACTGCTTCAGCAGTGTCTTAACAAACAGAAGTGAAAATGGGTAAGCAGCCCTTTGTTCCTTGGATTATAGTGACCCCTTGTGGCATTTTCTTTTTAATGCTAAATTTCGTATATAAGACAAAAATGAAGGTATACATGAAGAAAATATAGAATTACTTACTGTTATTGAAAGTGTTTCATTCTTGTGGTCAAAGCTCATTTTACCAAAGTAACCACGCTGATGTAGTAAGAAGTCAAAGTAGAATTTGCATCGTAAAGTAAGGCACCTTTTCAATTAAATTATGGAAACAAAATATTCAGTCACTAATTTTTAAAATAAGTGAAAAAATGAGAACAAATTTTAAGACACTAAGAAAAAATGGAATCTCAGTACTACTTCCACTACTTATATTTAAGTCATACAGTACATACACAAAAAGTACTTTCTATGGGTGTTAGAACTAGTTACATAACATACCCAACAGAATCACAAAAATAGAGAGATGAGGAAATCC